CATCGCACCTTGAGCGCATCGATCCATCAGGGTTTGACCCTTTCACACCCACCTTCGCTCAAAGTGCGGCAATGAAGAAGTTCTCACTTGAACTGCCGATTGTATCCTGCCTCACTCAGTGAGGCAAGCTGCTTCCAGTCGCAAGCTCCCAAATAGTAAGCCAAATCTGTGGCTTGAGATCCAGGTTCATGCTTATAGACCAAGCGACCCTTCTTGTCCTTCTTGGTCTCCATGGAAGAACCATAGGTAGCAATGATCCATCGGAGGTATTTCTTGACCACAGCATCCTTCAACCCGTGGCCGGCGATCTCCTGGAAGCTCCATTTCTGTGCCTTGAATTTGGGCATTGTCACCAAAGTCTGGCCCCAATGTTCAAAGCTGTCCACTCCTCTCGGGATAGGATACTCCTGGTTCATGTATTCCGGGATAAAGGAGCTATCCACCAATTCCAACTCAAAGCTCTCTTCGGACATCTCACTGTCCGAAGCATCCTGAGCGGGAGCCGGCGGAGGCACCTGATTCCCACCACGCTTCACCGTCTTTGACGCTTGTGCCATGGCAAAACGCGGCCGTCTAAAAGCTCTCAAATCTAGATGTGGCGCCACCCGAACAACGAGCTCTCAAGCTCAGCCAAACGAACAAGTCAAATCCGCAATTCCGTTCGAAACCACTGCACTATTCGCAGACAGCGAATGAAACTCAAATCAAAGCAAAGCACAGACACCCAGCACCCCTTTGCGAACCTTTAGCATCGCACGTGTGTGTTGTGCATTCGCCCACAAATAAATTGAACTGCATTAAATCTGCTCTTATTCAAGATGCAAATCTTTACTCAAGTTGTCTTAGACATACTGTGAAACAAGTCACAAAGCAAATTCACTTCTGGTAACTCTTTTGCGCGCCCTTCACAATCTCTTCCGCAAGCTTCCGATTGTACAGTGCAGTCTTCTTCCAAGATACAAAGTTAAAGTTTGCATGACCCTGGCTGCACCGACATGTTCCAAACTTCTGATGTAAATGATCAGACAACGTTTGGGTATTTGTCGTGAATCTGAGGCGCTTGCCAACGAACTTCTGGTCTGAACCTTTGAGTCCTGTCTGGCACAAATGAACGATTGCCTGGCATTCGTGGTTGAACTTTGTCAACATTTTCTGAACAAACCAACGACCCCAAATATCATTGGCGAGTGGAAGCTCGAAACTCGAGGTGTTTCCTAGTTTCAAGAAACTCGTTGCTCCTGCGATGTGTTCATCCCATGTTGCATCCATTTCACGCACGTCTGAGCTCATGGCGAATCGTCTCAACGGTGATCCACTCGTGCACATTGTAGAAAGGTGAACATGCAAACTAACGTTTCCTAAACTCTCGGCCCACGCCTTCGCTTGAGTAAACGTAGAACGCATTTCAACACCATATGTGACCCCTCGATATGGAATATTCCATGAAGCACACACCTGTTTCAACTGTGAGTTCTCATCACAACACACCTCCAAGAAAGCAAATTTCTCCTGTCTAACCTGGTGCCTCAGAGACATCAAAGCATCAATCAAAGGCATGTCAACAAAACCCATGATACTTCTTAGTCTCAGAAACCGTTCCGTTGAAAGGCACTTGGTCAAAGAATCGGCAGGAAGGCTTTCACCTCTGAGGTATATCAGTTCGGCATGACCTTGTTCAATCAACTCCCGGATCCATTCGATCTTGATGCTGATATGTCGACTTCGACGTGGCAAATCAATGGCCCTGATGAGTTTCAAGGCACTCTCTGAGTCTGAGTAAACCTTGGCCATCACCAATTCCGACTTATCCAGATACTCCAATGACCGAAGGATACGCGTCAACAAGCGCGCCACCACAACCGCTTCCTGCAAGACCTGTTGGATGCCTTGAAGCTCAGCTTCACAACTAGAAAGTGACATGCTCGTCTGATGCCTGGAGTACGCTTTTACTAATCCTCCCAGATAAGCTAATATCCCCCCCAACACGCCACGACGGTTCCGAGTAGACGGTGCATGCGAAGCATCAGTGAACGCTGTCAATTCCTGGAATGACAAGGGAACAAACCCTGAATCTTCCGAAGGAATCCTCAATGACATCCGAACATCAGTTGTCATAAAGCGCACTAATGCTCTCAATGCTTTCTCCGCGGCTTGTGTTGGGGATGATTGTACAGTTCCAAGCAACGCAACATAGTGCTTGAGGTCCTGTCGGGTTTGTGCCAACCAAGAAATCTTACCCAATGTTGACCTGAAGCGCTGGTACGCTTCTCCTGTGAGTTCTGGCGATCCTGCCGACTCTTGGTCCAAGATGGCCAAAATATTCGGACAGGGGTGACGTTTGCCACCTGTACATTGATCCATTTGCTTGAAACCCCAAGCCTCAAAGGTCTTTACCATATAGGTCTCAGGTACGTGTACGTACAATGCAACGTCTCCTGGAAGTCTCACAATTTCTCTCCCAAGAAATGTGACACGTCCACCTTCACGAGAAATTGTCCCTGTTTGTTTCACCTTTAGCTTCTTCTGCAAACAACCCAATATGACCTTGAAGTCATCTTCATGTTCACATGAAACCGCCAAGTCATCGACATACACAATGACCATGCCAATCCGACCGGAAGGAAGCTTACCGGCCATGAAACACGGTTCTGCTCCATCTGACTGAAGCCCAATGTGTCCCAGTTGCTGCTGAAGAAACAGTAACCATTCCAGGCTAGCGCTTCTTAGACCATTTAGGGCATTCGCACAATGCAGAATGACTGGCTCACCTGTTTCCGTTGAACATGACATGGGTAATCGAACTGCAACATCACGACGCCTCAATGGCGTATACATGAAGGCGTGTGAAATGTCTAACGTATAGACAAGCATGTTCCACGCGGCAGACATAGTGAGAAACAGCTGAAACGAGTCCGTTCCGAGAGTAGGGCTAGAAATCCCTAAGGAACGAGCCGATTCTTTGGAACGCACATCTTTCACAACCATCCTTGACCTCACCTCATCACCTTTCGCTACAGTCACCCATCTGGTACTAATCAGCCGGATGGGGAAATCACTCTCCGCACGAAGCTTCTCAAAACCGGAAACGGTATAGCAATCACCTGCTTTACATTCCTCTAGGCCTTCAATTTCCTTCTTCATACCTAGGTGACATTTTTCACCATCCAGAACATCACCCGTATTATCATCCACCGCATCAGAAGGACACCAAATTTTGATTGGCATCCCACCCATCATCACCACAAACGATTTAGGCACCTTACCATCTGAGGCGAAGCGAACACTCGACAACATGTGCTCTGAACTCATGGAAGGAGGTGATGACACGACGGATGCAAGCGAAACAAAAGTTGCACACCAATGCTTTGTTTCAATCTGAATGGATTCAATGTCATCTTTCTTTAACTCTTCTTCCAATTCCTTCAAATCCATTTCTGATGGTCTCTTGAGGCCCCGACTCCGAGATTCCGCGGAAGTCGATGGTGGATGATCCTGAAATGCACCTGTTTGATCTGGTCCCTTCTCGATCATCCTTCTGCGGACAGGACGTTCAAGAGTTTCTTCCACATCTTTCAAACTGAGTCTCTTATTATGTCTCTCTCTCTCTGACTGTTCTTCATTCTCTTCTCTTTCTATCTCAATTTCGTTTTCTTCTTGTTCCTTCTCTTCTGGTGGTTCAGTAGGTTCATAAGATCCTGGGTCAACGGTATCTTCAAAATGCACTGAGGATCGAGCCACTGCCGGTTCACGTGCTTGCACAGGTGTTTCTATAGGTTCACTACTTTCTTTTCGTGTTTCTTCCGCTTTGTCCTTCAAGAAAGTTTCATACCTGCGACAGCAATTCTTAGAATGCACCAAACCCTTTCTACTTCCACGTTCCTTCAAACCTCTGCACGCAATGCAATTATCTGTATACCCCCCTTCGGTGTTGATCCACGCCGATGGAGGCCCGGAAACTGGGCATCGAAGAGATGGTCCTGTGGATGGAATCACCTGTCTTCTAGGAACGTCGTGACCTGTTGGTTGATGAGAGTGTTCCTGCGTGGACAACGAGTGAAGGTCCTGATAGAATTTCGCTGTCCAAGACAAAGGCAAAACATGTTTGAAACTCTTTGCATTGAAGCGAACATACTGAATGATTCCATTTGCCGACACTTCTCCAATGACTTCGCTTCCAACTGAGGTCCATACAGGTGCAATATAGATAGCGTCCACGAATCTCGAAACAGTGGGATATTTGTCCTTGATGCTCTGAGGAACCTCTGCCAAAATCCTAGAAAGAAAAGGAGCAAACATCTGTTCCTTCATCTTACTTCCTGCAACCAACTCCTTAGGAGTCCTGTCACCTCCATGTGCGTGTGAAAACAGATTACGGGAGTGACAAACATGACGAAGGACATCCGCAAAAGATTGTTCACTCAATTTCAACTCTAAACCATGTTCTGTCAGTTCTGAACGAATCACGGCAATTCCTTCCTTTACGGTTCGAACTGCCCTTTCTGCAGCTCCAACATGTTCATGGCCTTGTGGAGAAGCACGTTCAACCGTCCAATTCATAGCAGAAGTTGCACCAGTGACAAAACTTGACACCGCTGCTTCTGAATCTGTGCACAGCTGAATAGCTACTCCACCATCCTGAGCGGTCAATCCCATCTCTGCCAACCAATGTACCAAGTTCGCACGATCCTTGGTCACATCACCAGTCATGACAATCGCGCCGATTGCCCCCGACGCTCGTTCTGACAATGCAAGACCTTTTAGGTCATCAATGTAAAAGAAATCCGCCGCAAGCACAATCTGAAGTTTCTCATCCGCTGATCGTCTCCGATGATGAGTCACTCCTTTCGACTTCTGACAATGCACGCACCATGGCATGTACGGAGTATGTCCTCGAAGTTTATGAGCAAGCAACTCTGCTTCTGATGGTGTGTTCAACTGTATTGGGCTCATCATTGTCGTCGTTTCTTGTTGGAGTGGTTGGGCATTCATTTGATGGAGTTCATGCAAGGTCGGGACGAAGACAATCCAAGGACAACCTGCCCAGGTAACAATTGTTGCCACCTTCGACTTGGACTCTTCGTGCAACATCTGTTGAACAGATCCACTAAAGGTGAAACTCCATCCACGTCCCACACATTGATTGATACTCAAAATGTCGTGTTGGGTCCTACCTACCACCGCATGAACCACCATCTTTTGTGGTTGAATTGCTCCATGACACTCCGTCAACACATACCCCGACAGCTGAGTCTCTCCTAGTACTCCCACCGACGATCCGTTGGCGGCATAAAATGCCTGCGCACATGTCTTCAGTTCTGTGGCCTGCTGACACTCCTTGAAACGTTGGTATGTCTCGCTTGAGACTACAGTTGCAGCCGCTCCTGAATCTAGAAGCCAAAACCCATTTTCCACTCTTTGCATTTCATACAACAAAGGATTCAAAGCCTGTTCTTCTTCGTGAAAATCTAAACTGGGAATTCCGTGAACAAAACTCAAACAGCACATGGAAAGAAATACTACGAACACGAAACGAAAAGAAGGTCCCATCGTCAACATCTTCCAAAAACCAGTTGTCTCAAAACGGTATCGAACGA